AGGGCTGTGAGTGCAGTATTCTTCTGTATGACCTTGGTCCTCAATTTTCTCATTTTACATTGCTTGATCCAATTGGCTGCCAAGTCTAGGCTTGGGCTAACCATCCCTGCCCTGTACCCCTGAGTGTTTTATACCTTGAGTTTCTAGATTACTTTTCTTTGTGCAGAGGAGGTCAAAGGTGCTCCTGAGTTTTAATGACCTCTATCGCTGCTAACTGTCCTTTAAACAGAGCATAGAGGAAAGTGGGAGATGGAGAATACCCAACAGAGAGAGCATGTGACATATGACAGTCAATCTGTGATCACCTTCTGTTCCTGGGACCCTGTGCTTCCTCTCCATACCAACTGGTGCTCCTACTGACAAGTCTCAGCAGATCTGGGTTTCATTTGGTTCTTAGAGCAAGAAGTCACCCCACAGGTCAGAGGAACAAACAAAGTAAAAGAAGAGATTTGAAGTCTGATGATTTCCAAAGAACACTGCTCAGTCCAGATATTCCTGGAAATCCAAGAAATGATGTTTTAAAGATACATAAACAGGCCTCCCTCCCAGATGACCAAGCCAAGAGCATGGACAAGGGAAATGTGTCTGCTTACTAGATGCAGCTCCCCTTGAATGAGTCCTGAATAGGTCCTGGCACTGTTAGAGTACTTTCTGCAAGCTTATGTCATTGAGCTGTCCTGAAATCACTGTGCCCATTTCTCAAGGGAGGAGACTGAGAGACACAAGAACTAACAAGGATCACATAGCAAACACCGGGTGCTAGAAATTCTACCCTGGTCTGATTATTTGATATAAAGAGAAAAACAGAGATGCTTGGTCAAAGCTGATCTGCAGGGGAGACTTCTTCACCTCTCCACCTCTGATCTGGAAATACATGGGTGGATACAGGGATGTCGAAGGGAATGGAAATACTCTGCAGCCAGATTAAGGATGGGAAGGAACATCACTTCTCTTCCCCCTAAAAGACCTGGCAGTAGAGGAAACATGCCACTGGGACTCAAGTGCCCATGTGGGATCTGTCTACCTGAGGAAATGTGAGACTTTGGACCACAACTTTTCAACCCTCTGACACACAGACTACCTTTGGTGAAGCAGGGATAACAACCACTTCCCAAGGTCATTGGGGGAATGAAAGGTGTACATGCGAACACGTGCTACACTGCCTAGGAAATCAGGCTTTCTTCCTGCATTGTGTCCTCAGCCCAGAAAGCCCGAGACCTTTGGAAAATCATGTCTAATAATAAGAGAAAAATTTGCTGAGCACCCACTACATAGCAAGGCCAGTTCTAAGCACCTTCACCCAGCAGTTAATTTAGCATTTCCAGAACCCCATGACACAGGTGCTCACACAGTCTCTACTTTGTGACTGTGGAAGCTGGGCTGGCTAGCTTACCCAAGGTCACCAAGCTAGACAAGGACAGAGGTAACCTGGATACTGAAACTGAGTTCTAACCATGGCGATAGTCTATACTTCAGGGCAGAAGCTTGTAAAGGAGAGAGCTATGTTCCTATGTGAATGTCTCCCCACTATGCCTCTTTGAGGGGTTGAGTGAGAAGTAGGGAATGAATGAGGGAAGGGAGACAGTGAAGATTTAAGAGCAACCATCAAACTTAGTCCATGCCAACATTTAGAACAAAAGGAAAAGCGTCTGTCAGCAGATGTGCTGGGTGGGATTCAGGTTAAGCCCCTTCTCCTCCTGAGCTGGAATTCAGAATCACCAAGAGCAGGGGGATGCGGTAAGAGGAGGGCAGTCCTTGTGGGGTCCACATTTCACTTATCCAACAGGTCAGGAGAAACTTTAACAAGATTAACTACTGCTCAGGGCCTCTGCTTCATGAAACAAATTGAATCTATTGTTTTCTTTTTCTTTCAGACTGAAGGGTGGTAAGGTATGGCTGGGGATGGGCAGCAGGGGTCTGGATCTGGCCAGGCATGGTACAAAAACAAAGAGATGTGTCAGACCCCCTCACTTCCCCCCACCAAAAGGCAGGGCCTGGGTAGTCAGTCTGTGTGGGGTAAAGCGTGACAGTGTTTATGAGACGTTACCTCTATCAGGTAGGGAGTGAGGCCAAAGTGGGGATGTCAAGAGTTAAGTCCTGCTTCCTGCCACTGAGTTTAGCCATCTATCACACTGTCCCTAATGGCCTGAAGGACAAGTGATGGGCAACCTCTGAGGGCCCTGCTCATAGTAGCCTTAAAGGAGTCTGCAGTTCTTAAGTATTCATCCTTGGTAGGGTACCAGGTGAATCCAGCACCCTGGCACCTTGTAACCCTAGGTTTAGTTTTTTCCTGTACAAGCTACAGATTATATATATATTCACCTTCACTTTCAGAAGAATAATAGACCTGCTTTCTGAGCTTCACAAGCACTCTACTTCCCTTGCTCCCTCACCCTGCTTCTTCTGGTGTTTATGAAGTTTGAACCAGGGCAGAAATAGATCCCAGGCAGGCAAGATCTGGGAGCACAAGGGCCTGCCTCTGCTAGATGACAGACCTGGTTAACAGCTCCGTAAAATTAGCCCTTTACGAAACCCAGTCGAATCGTGCAGCAGCGTGATGTAAGGCAGGATGGCGAGACTGCGAGGCAGCGGCCCTGGGCCCGAAATAGCAGAGTTGCAGTCCCTGCTGAGCGATGACTGCTCTGGAGATAGGTGACCAGGGATTCCTGTGAAAGTGGTGACGCCCAGCCAGAGAAAAGCCAGCAGAGGTCAGGCAGCCAAATGGCACCTGAGGTCTCAGCAGCAGGCCGGAGGATGCGCTCTGGCACCCGCTCTGGTCCTGCCCTTCCAGCCTGAACTTAACCACGGAGCAGGGAGCTGAAAAAGTACTTCTTAAAAAAAAAAAAATCCCCTTTGTTTGTTTGCTTTTTAATTCAAGGAGAAGCAGGTTCCTTTCAGTTCCTCAGTGTGTGCGGTGTGGAGGACACTGCAGAATAAGTCTTTTCTGGCTAAATGCCAGGTGTTTACACACCGCCAAATCTGGCTGGAACTCAACTAGGGGAGGGGAAAAAAAAATCCACCAGAATTCTCCGGAGAAAAGCTCCTGGCTGTCTGGGACTACTCAGCAACGGTGCATTTATTTATTTATTTATTTATTTATTTATTTATTTATTTATTTATTATCTATTTATTATTTATTTTTACTGTTTTTTTTCTTCTCCATTTTGTGAGGAATGTTATTTCCACGCATAAAACGAACCAGGCATTTTATACGAGCAATAATAACCTAACATCCCTGATCCAATTGAAGTATTTTACTTCTACATTGTGTAGGAGTGAGTATGTGTGCAAGGGAACGGGAAGAAATCATCGTCTGAGTTACACTTATAAAGCAGTCTCCCGTGGAACCCCGTGATGACTGTGTGTGTGCGTGGGTGTGCGTGTGTGAGTGTGTGAAATGCACCCACTGACTGCAATCCTCAGCTCTCATCTTGGGGGGGGGGCTTCCAATTCACTAGCACATCAGGTAAGGACTAGGAAAATCCACACCTCCTCAATTCTTGACCAGTTCCAACCCTCAAACCGCTTTCATGTGTTTTGAGAGAAGCGTGCACACTACAGTCCTCAGCTGTCACTGCGTTGGTGATTTTCTTGAACCTGGTCTCTCTGGTTCCTCATCGTACCCTCCTCTGGCTCACTAGAGCTGGGAGCTAAGTGAATGAGCTCCGTTTCCCCCTCCTTTCCAGGAGGCGGGGGTGGGGGTGGGGTGCTTGCGATGACGTCAGGTGTGTGTGTGTGTGTGTGTGTGTGTGTGTGTGTGTGTGTGTGTTTGGGAGAGTCCTTCTCGCTTTCCCTGGGTGGGGGCTTTGAGGACACATTTGATTGGCAAGACAACAGAGTTTGGGTCCCCTGAAATGGGCTTGGTGTAAACAGAACGCAATGTTAAAGAGGGTGAAACCAGGGAAAAATAGAGTGCGCGCAAAGCCCGGAGCTTTCCCTTCTAAGAAGGCGTGTGTAGGGGGTGGGATCGCAAACGCCTGCGCGTTTCCTGGCCGTAGCTAAGGGGGAACCCCTACTCCAGCTTTAAGACATCCCAAGACAGGGCAAGATTGTTTATGCAGGAGGGAATCTCCCAGACAGAAGAGGCAAAACTTTCCCGCTGTCCTCCAGCGCCGCCCCCTTCGTCACCCCTTCGTTTTAGTAAGGCATTTCTACAAATTCATTTAGAGGGGAAAATGGACGTTGAGGTATTTCTAAGGTTTGCAACCCTCACAAAGTGTCCGGTTTCACTACGGGCTTTGCTGTGGAACAGCGAAGGGGAGAGAGAGGGAGGGTGGGAGAGAGAACTTAAATTCATTACGGGCTCATAAAAGTCCCAAATGAAAAAAAAAAAAAGCGCCCCATTTCGCAGCCGAGTCGGGGGAGGCTGGCGGTGTACGCGGAGAAGGTCTCGCCCCAGCCAGGAAAGACAGGCCACCGGTTTTAAAGGGCACGGGATGGCACTGTGGGTGGCTGTCGTGGGGGTGGGTCCCAGAGGCAGACTGCAGGCGGACAACAACTTTGGGGGTACTTCTAGGACTTCTAAGTCTGGCAAGCACCACAACCTTGTCTCTGCCGACTTTCAGGGTAACCAGGCCACGTGAAGAATTACCTCCACCAAAAAGTCAAAGCAAATTAACGGTTCCCTAACCTTCTTTCACATGCAACCCAACTGGGTCATGTTCCCTGCCCTCCCAAACCCAGACAGAGGATGTCTGCTAGTACAGAGCACAGCGTATGTGTTCTGGGTTCCCCCGGGGGACCAGCCATCCCCAGGTCCACCGTCTCCCGCTGCCGGAAAGCTCCGGATGCAGTTCCCCAGGAGCCAGGCAGCATTGCCTTCCCAGCGCGCCCATTCCGCAGATGGGGCAAAGTAAGGCTCGCAGCTTTCTGGGGCTGCCCCCGCGCCGCTTCTGGACTGCTCCCGCTGACCCACCCACCACCCGAAGCCCGGACACCCGCGAGCCCCCCGAGGAATCGCGGGGACACCTGCGGTGGCCGCCTGGGAACCCGTCGCCTACCTGTGATCACCGCCGGAGACCTCTGGCCCCCCTCCGCTCGCAGCCACACTTGCAGGGTGAACGCGTCCCGAGGCAGCTCCAGGTCGGCCCGGAGGCGCAGCTGCTCACCTCGCCCGCTGAAATAGAGCGCCCGGCTCGGCGGGCTCGGCTCCTCCGCGCCCCTCGCCTCCCGCTGCTGCCGCCGCCGGGGAACGCGCACCGCTTCCCAGGCACCGCCCG